GACCCTTGACCCTTGAGATAACGTACAAGGTTGTGATCAAGGTCAATTGCAAGGTCACCAATTGATAGCCAGGGAAAAATCGAGTAACTTTTGTTTTCAACATATTTCGGAAAAATGCATCCCTAGCGAATTATTCCGCTATTCCGGTACTTTTCTAACATTCTGTATATGTATAAAAATGTTAGTTTTGGTTTGAGTACGCTTCAAAAACACAAAAACTTCTACACAGATTGAGCTCAAACTTTGATATGAAATACAAGCTGCTTCAAAGATTGTCTTAACTTATTTTTCGGGTCACTTTCGTGCCATAGTTGTCATCAATGCAACACAGAGAACATGGCAGGATACAGCTAGTTTTATTATTAAAATACTCAAACCAATGACATTAGATTTATTTATGTACAAAAATATTTGCAGCGTAATGACATCGAAACATCGAACCTAATTACTTTTTCTTATGGTATAAAGAGGCAAACGAGCAGACGGGTCACCTAATGGTAAGCAACTACCGCCGCCCATGGACACCTGAAACTCAAAAGTCACAAGTGCTTTGCTGTTCGATTCAGCGGGAGGGGGGATTTGGGCTCCGGTAACCTCACTCACTCAGTGCAACGAAAGACTTGCTTAACACCGTATATAGTATAGTTTCCTTCCTAGGGTACACCTGGTTCCCCGGCTACTGGTGCGGCGTGCGGTTTTTGGTCGGTTCATGTCCGACATAACCACCGGGTGGTATCCCAAGAGATTTCCGAACAGACAAAAAAAAGGCGTAATATAGTTTTTATTTACATGAAAAATTATTGTAAGTCGCTAAAGTTTATACACGCCTGTTATAATAATAGCCTGTAAGTACGGCGCGTACTTTGATCTAGGTATATCAATCTCTAAAACCACTGGACTGATTATGATAGAATTTTCAATGTCTAAACACCTTCAGGGCACACAGACGATTAGGCTATTACGGCTATATGGTTTAGGGGAGATGGCAGCGCATTGGAGGCTTTTAGAGATGTAATTACACGATTTAATAACTAATATTGTCGATTTTGGATAGAAGTTTGGTTATGTGGATTAGTTTATGGTCTCTACATTACGTTTAGGTATCTCTCTTGCTTGGTTATGACAGACACAAACACGGGCAGAAACTTAGAATTTTTAGTGTTAGTGTTAGTTGTAGAGTACCTGGTTGACTTCCTAAGCATGGTGATTAATACAAGATAAAGCCGCCATTTTTACATGTTTATTAATTATATGTATTCCGCAAAAAAACAGTGTGTGTGTGTGTGTAATTCACACAAGTGTGAAACTTTCAAAAAAAAAAAACTCAGGAAAACCCTATAAAAACTTTCATTTATAAACCTGTTTTTTGTATCACACTTTATTTCTGCTAAAATACTGTAATTTGCCAACTTTTGATGTCAAACCGACGCAAATAGGCCTGCTGTACAATTCACATTTAAAATTTTTGCCCACCCACAACAATTATTTACGTTAAATGAACATTGACTGTAAATTTAAGCCCAACTTGATCATACATCAATACAGCATAATAAGAGGTGATTCGCAATGAAATCACTAGTTTTAATCATGGCTGGCAACATACCTAGATCATACACTGAATTCGTTTTTGTATCGCCATCCCTTTCTAGCAAGTACGCAGACTCTAGTCATCGTCATCAACCCCTCTGGAAGGGTGACCACCCCTTTTCACCCCCCACGTCAATATACAGCAAACAGTGTTGGATAAAATAAACTCACACAAACGGAGTAAGTGCACACAGAGCGCACACAAATGCAAATTTGAACGCATACTAGCATAGATTTATACAAAATTGAACAGATAATTACATTAAGTGTTTACATGTGTGTGTGTATTAAAATACATAACGCACATAGATAGAAAGGGTGTATTGGCGAAAAATGGAAAATATTTTTCTGCAATTTTTCTGCTGTTTCGAAAATTCGACAGTCGTTCGAATTCAAGTTTCATTCACGGTTGGACGCCATTTGCTTTTTGGCTACAAAAATTCATTCATTTTGTTGCACCCAGATTTTTATGCATAATTGATATGATAGTCTGGAGTCTATTTGAGCTTTTAATGCTAGTGGGGGTTCGAGTACTGTGTATTGGAAAGTATTGATAACGAGTAGCGGATTTTGTAAAATGACACTCACTGGAGCAATGGATTTTTAGAGTTCGTTACAATCTAGACGTTTAACTATTATGCTTTAATTATATTTTCTTTTAAACTACCTTTCGCCCGTGGAACCGCCAGCGTGTATCGTGTTAAAAAGTAGCCTATGTCCTTATCAAAGTATCTCACTGCAAAATTTCATTGAAATCGGTTTAGCGGTTTAGCCGTGAGAAGGCAGAGGGATCAATACTTCTGTTCTTATGTCCAAGGATTTCATAGAAGCTATCAATATTAGCTATCAATATTAGCTATAAATACGCTTAAATTCTAAAAATAAAACTCTTAAATTTACAATAAGTAATTCTAAGTTTCTCTTGAACTGTGCCATAGACAGTATACTTTTCGTTAGATACTATTCAGATTTGAAAATAATTTACTACCCTTGAAAAGACCCCTTGTTGCAAATTGAGAAATGAGAAATGGAATTTATCATAATTTGAATTCGTCGTTTTTTTTTCGTTGATACTTTTTTTATGTTAGAGGTGGCAGACGAGCAGACGGGTCACCTGACGGAAAGTGACTATTGCCGCCCATGAACGTCTGCAACTCAGGAGTTACAAACGCGTTGCCGGCCTTTTAGGAAGGAGTACGCTCTTTTCTTGATGGTTTGAAGGTCGTATCGGCCCAGACATACCGCAGACGATAACCCGTTCCATAGATTGGTTGTGCGGGGCAAAAAGTGTCTCAACAATTCCTCAGAGCACTCTCCATGATATATGCGATAGAGAATGCAGAGTGAAGCCACATCTCTACTTAACGCCAAGGGATCGAACCGATCGGAGATGTTTGGGCTATCGACGATTCGAGTCGCTCTTCGTTGGATGAGGTGCCCCTGCATAGAGATGAGAACAGTATTAAATATGCGGCCGGACTTGCGCCTTGTAGAGCTGAAGTGAAATACTGCCTCGACCTTACCCTCTAAGTGACCCCTAAACTGGACTTCGCTCGATATGTCGATGTCTAGGATTCCGATGCTAGCTGAGGCAGTTAGGGAGGTGCTCTTAAACCGAGGTGATACGACAAATGGTATCTTCTTTGCGGTGAACGCACAGACCTGTGTCTTTTTTGGGTTGAACTGGACTAGATTTAGTCAGCCCCAATCTGAAACCTCCGCTAAGGAAGTTTCAATTTTAGACACAAGTTTGTTTCGACTCTCGATGACGGGTTCCCGAGAACTATTGGGGCGGCCTGTCTAAAGGGCATCTCCCTTGCTATCATCTGCATAGCAATGAATGCTACTAGTTTGCAACATGTCATTGATATGCAGAAGAAACAGTGTGGGTGATAGCACACAGCCTTGTGGAACACCAACATTTACGATTTTGAAGTCGAAGCATGCACCGTCGAGAACGGCCTTAATGCTTTTGTCCACAAGGAAACTGGTGACCCAATTACACAATCGAACCAGACCCGATCGAAGGCCTTCCCTATGTCCAAACCAACCGCACAAGCCTTTCCTTTGATCTCGATCGCCTGTGCCCACAAGCCTACTTTTTTGAAGTTATGTATTATAATACGTTTATTTTAAATTAGAACTGTCATTTCAAGACTTTTTTATTGTTTCTAATATATGTTATCAGTATGGGTTACAAACATTAAACTGTACCACCAAGACTTCATGATTTCTACTTTCATTACATTTTTTTGAATTTTCTAACACACAAACACTACACAAACTAATTTAACATTTTTATTTACATAAATAGATAGATAAATTGTCGGTTACCGAGCAGTTTATTTAAAGAGTAGGAACTAAGAATAAAGCAAAGTCACAATCACATATGATTTATAAATCATATAATCGCAACTGTGACTAATTAATAAAAACCATTGCGACTCACTAAAGGTCTAAATCTAAAAAATAGGTAAATAGTCTTTGATGAAAATATTTTTTTATTAATTTTGATGGCATTTATCTTTGTCTATTACCAAATCAGAATCACAGGTGAAATAGCTGTAACTGACCCAATAACTTCATCTTAAGATTATGATTTAAAAGTAGAAATAATTGCCATGTCTAGCCGAACTAGATACTCAGTCTCTCATTATACACATTATTGGTCTTAGGCAGTTATATAGCAGCACAACATACTTTACCTTATAAATGCACCCTCGCTATCCGTTCTAGCTGCAGTACCCCCTGTAACCAAACAAAATAACATACCTGTCTGTATGTATATCCCTGTAGCGCTAGGTTCAACATCCCAGGCACAAAGGCAGGCTAATAAGGTCATTGACATGGCTCTAATTAACAGTCAGAGGTAATCGCAGGAAATAAATACATACCTAACTTTGGTTGATCTATTTTAATCTGATATTTAAAAGTTTCCATTATAAATTTTTATAATCATTGAGTTAAGTTTTTATTTGATGATATTAAGGCTCAGCAGATATTTATTCGATGTATTTTAATGATAAAAGACAACTCCCACACTAGGAATATGTGTCGCGGGAGACTTTACCAACACACATGAAACGGACACCCGTTTTTATCTACTAGTGTAATATTTCTGCTAGTGTTACTAGGTGTGTGTTTTACAAGGAAATAATTGCAATAACTTTTGAATCTTCGGCAATTTTACCTCGCTTGGGAAAATAAAAATAAGTTTCGTATTAAAAGAATGATGAGATGATATCAGACAAGAACAGTTTTGATTATATATATTTAATCACACTGACTTTTGGTGAGTTTTTGATGATACTGACGTGGAAGAGCCATGCTGCGGATTAAATGGGGCAACTCGACCGAAGCGATACCAGGGGCTCACAGAAAACCGATCTAGACCAATTCTTTCGTTTCGTTTATTATACACCCGTAATTTCAAGTATCCATTCTCTAATTTCAGGATCAGATATATTAGTGTAAACTCCAGGCATTTTTCGACCGCAGCCGTAACCGAAAGACGAGAGGCCGATTAACTCGCCTCTCCTGGATGCTGCTCCTCCACCACTGTCACCCTGAAATAGCATTTTACTGTGATGAATTTCATTACTATAACATTATATCAATATCTAAAAATAAAATGGCCTTACCTGACAGGTGTCGTACTCCCATCCACCAGCGCAAAACATTCTCGCCGTGAGAGTATTGTTATACCAAGATTGATCTACTTTCTGACAGCTTTCCATGGACACGATGCGTACCTTGACTTGCTGAAGAGTATCGTTATACTCACCCTTAAATTAAAAATATAACTAAAGATGAAACTATGTTGTAATGGTGTATGATACATTATAACGGTGATAGGTGAAATTGGATTCGAGAATTCATTTGGAACAATTTAAGATACTCGTTACGTAAAGTTGTACAAAGATAATATATCCTCTACTAGAATAGCTATGCTTTATTTTTTATCTGTGTTGTTTTTAAAACAAACATATACAATAGTATGATATTGTAATAGTAAAAATTATCTTCCAGGTGAGATTTTAGTCGTCAATATGATCAACTGCTTACATAGCCTAATTTGTTTATTTGTACTGAATTCATTGCACAAATATAAACAAGTGGTCATCTTCATATGTCTGTCTGTCATATGTATGTATGTTTTTTCTTTATATCTAAGAACACTCTGTGAAGTCACCGTTTAAACAAAAACAAATATTAATTGTTTAAACTAATAACCCCTGTTCTTTTTGCGTCGAGAGATAAAAACAAATGAAAAGTTGTAAATTTGAGGTCAATCATTTTCTTTCATTTACTTCTTTAGTTAATGTTTTTTGTAAAGATAAAAAACAAAAGTGTTTACATTATAATAATATGGGAGCAACATAATTGTGTATAGCTATTGTACTAATTATTTCATAAACCCTATATTAAGAAATTAAGATATGTATTACCCTACCTTTTCCTTAGAATATCCCCAACCAGAGACGAAAACGCTTCCGTCATGATTTTTACCGATGCGAATAGGTTTCACCGTTTTACTGAACCGCAAAGCTCTAAACAACTTCAAAAGCTGAGCATCATAGTCAAATTTATGTTCCAGTTGATACTTAGGGTGTACAATGTGTTCCAATATTTTGACTGCATAACCTTCAAGACGCCATGTTCTCCCAACTCTTACGTAAGTAAGGCTTTTGCTAAAAGTAGTCGAATACAGTTTGATTTTTACACCTGGATTTAAACAAATGCTTGTTTAAAATATGCAGAAGAACTGCTTTATAAAAGCTACTTAATTTATTGACTTCCTACTACTACGATTGTGCATTACTGTAACTACTGTTTTGTGCTAAAATAAGATGATAAAGTCCGTGTGGTGACGGATTAAGAATACAGATTGTCACCACCCCTATTCATCCCGTGGGTGTTGTAAGAGTCAACTAAGGGAAAAAACTACGTAGAACAACAACACTGCAGAGAGAAGGAAAACTTGACACAAACCCTATACCAACCCGTCTGGCCAGCGTGGTATAGTAGGCCAAAACCTCCTTTCTAAGGAGAGGCCTGTGTCAAGCAGTGGACTAGTAATGGCTGTTGATGATGATGAAGATGAAAAAGAATTTTGCAGTCTTTGTACTATTTCGGTCCTGAGGCATGAATACACACAGATCTCGATGTAGACATAATCTTTACTTTGGCTTCGGCTACTTATCATTCAAAGTAGATGATTTTATCTTTACTAGTTTTACATAAGTCCACACCGTATAGACCCGCTTTCACAAATAGGTGTTTGAGGTTCGGTATTAGTCCATCTGTGATTGTGTCGCTAGTGCGTACAATATTAATAATATAAGTATTTCCCACGTTATAAGATTGTAAAAAAGTAATAATAAAAAGTAATCGTTCAAAGTATTATGATTTTAATTGATCATCATCTTCTCCAGTTGTTAGGAAGTCTTAAATTGAATTGCAAGAAAAGAGTGAGAGTGCTGATTATAAATTTTTGCATCGTTCCAGATATATTGTCTTTTTTTACATACTATTAAGGCATACCAGATTTTTAAGACACTGTCGAGCAATATAATATTTATATTTTTAAGTTATATATATAAAAAAATGGTCAATTGGCGGAATTTGGAAAGGCCATAGTGACCTTGCCGATCAGAGAACGGGTACACAACTTTGCACCTTTGAGCTACTGGAATCTCAGACCCGTTTTCCATCCGAGATTAATGCTCATCTATTTTTTCCTAGCCTTAAACGAATATGCCATTTTCTGTACTTTTACTGTACCTTCTTTGATTCTTAAGAAGGAAAGTATACAGTATAACGTCATTTTATTTTTACTTTTAAGAAACTTTATTTGTCTTACCAAATCTAAATAAATGCAATGCTTTGTGTCTAAAGTATGCTGTTAATTGTAACTTACCCACAATGTGCAGTTGTGATCGCCCATATTTTATGGATTAGGGCGGCACCACACACATCGCCGTAACTCAAGTGGTACGGGGCCTCATGTATCTTTATAGCATAGCCACCGAGTATACTGCACGGAAATGAACGATCAACATGAAAAAGGCCGAACAATTCTATTAAGAATTGTCAATATTTGTTATTTGCAGCAGATTTTCTCCCAATTACCTCGATGGCTGATTAGCCATAACATTCTCACTCTTTTCATTAAATCAGCTTATCAAAGGTTTGAAAAATTGAATGAAAATCTTAATAAAATCTAAGTTAGACATATTTCAGAAACTGAGGAATATGGAAGTTCAATTACTTAAACCTAGATACAGAAAAATTCTAGGCAGCTATAATTTAGAAGCAGCAGGTTTTTAAATTATGTGTAAATAGCTACATCCAATCACATGTTCTAAATTTTATACGCGTCGTGATGCGGATAGTCAAATAGTATATAAGGTCCTCATCACTGATATCAAACATAAAACTCACCTGTCAGCAAGACCAAAGTATGTGAGAAACACAATCAAAAATAACATTACAAGACACGAGATAGGCTACAATCAATCATGATTTCAATTATAAAAACCATACGCAGAATGTTCAGGTTGGTTTACACAGCGGGCAATAATTTGCGGTCCATGAGTTGCTACTAGCGGCTCTTGCTGGTTTTTATGATTCGTGACTTTATTGGCGTACAGCCTCACTGGACAATTATTTTAATATTTATTGCAAAAACTGAAATTCTTTTAATTACTGACTTTACTTGCTTCTAATGGTTCTTCTGATTGAAAGATTTTATATGTTCTTTTCTGTATCTTCGCAAAATTTTATGATGATCGCATGAACGGTGCGGCTGCGCATAAAATATGAATTCAGTATATCCATTTAGTTTTTGTTTTACTGTACGGATAGTGCAATTAATTTAATTAATTATCCAGCCGAATGCCACTGCGACATAAGACAGCTACGAGTATGTGTATCTACGATGATAATTCTTTTAAGTGTGGATTAACAACTATTCAAATTACGAATTATAATAAAGTAGTTTGTTGCGTTGTGTTTATTAATTTATTTAAGGATCTTGAACAAGAATATCACATAGCATTTACAGAGAATAATAAATTATTGATCTGGTGCATTCTTAATTACAGAAGATCACAGCCTGCATTAGGAGTCAAACATAACATTTGGAAAATAAATTACTATCACACAAATTAGAAGCAAATAAATTAAATTAAATTAAAATTACTGTTAAATTCATTAAGTCAATTCAAACAAAAATGACATTGCAAAAGTTAAAGTTAAGTACTGATAATATGGTTAACAATTAAATAGTCAACAATATAAGATAAATTCACATTAGAAAGAAATTGATGTCACCTGTTTATTGATAAGGAATTTCAAATGTCCTATAGTATTACTGAAGATGTCTATATCATTAGATCTATTTGAAACTTCATTAAAGTGATTAGTCATCCTAATTATTGGAGAGTGTTTACCAAGATTTGTGCGATAGCGGGGAGCTTTGAGCAGTGAACTAGACCTATAGAATACTAGACCTATAGAATACTAAAGTATAGAATTTACTCAGGAGACTTGGACAGTCAATTCCATTATTGAATAACTTGTATATGAACATTATGTCAGAAACCTTGCGCCGGGCTTCAAGGGATGCGAGCTTGAAGTAGCTAAGTCTGCCAGAATATTACCTTATTGAGGTTTTGTTTGCGTTAACGAGTGACTTGCTGAATGCTTATGAAAGTTTGTTATGTAGAAGTATAAGATAATAGGTCAGCGAATTTTAGGCGCACCTTGCGTGAGCCTCAGTAGCAGAGCCTAAAGCCTCAGTAGTTAATATCGTCTAACTTTCAATGTGAAAAAACTAACTAATCTGTCGGTGTGGCAACATTAGTTACGTCAGATTAGAATGACAGCTGTCATTCTGACTGAACGTCACATGTTGGGATGAGGCGGCCATCTTGTAGTACAGAAATCGAACAACCGTTGTTCATTGCACGCAACCAATAAAGGTAGGTTGCACGTGTACAGATTTGAAAGTGATAAAGTATGGGAGAGTAGGTTATTATTTCCTGATTAGATAACCTATCTGCGTGACGAAGTATTTCCGACGATGGCCATCCAGCCCTTATTAATATTATAAACTAGCTTTCCATTGTTGAAAGAATTTTCACGGCGCTTCACGCTTAAACCACTAAACAATAGGTTTAGTAGTTTAGAGTCAGTGGTTTAGGCGTGAAAGCGTAACAAACAAACTTACTTTTACATTTATAATTTAAATAAAAAAGCGAGTTCTTGTTTCTTTGTTTGTTGTTGTTGTTGTTTTTAATATTTTTTTATGTATGATCGGGCATAATTCCGTCAATATAGACGGTTTTTTTTTAATTATTTTTTTGTTCGAAAGGGATTTATTGAACCTATTGAACTGACGATGAATTTCGGAGACAGACAACGGAATTCTTTAAAAAAATGACAGCAAATCAACCGCGATTGCTGCTAGGTTTTTAGTGCTATTTGTTAGTATTGTTTGAAGTCGGTTCAACTACTTTAAAAAAATATTATTATGCTTTCTAGTGATATTTACTCAACTGATCATCATGTAATTGTGTAATCCCATAAGAATACCTATTTGTTTTTAGATAGAAAAAGAATTTAAATGGGTAAAGTTAAAATATAGATTATAATGCAGGATAAATGCAGGAAAAGTTCATGCATTCTGATAAATAAGTACGAAATGTTATGTGGTCCAAAATGTCATACAAATAATATAGTCTCATGTGGTATTTAATGAATTGTAAGTATTTAGGTGTATATTGTAGTATCAATTTTTTTTTCAAAATAATAAATATACCTAAATACATTCTATTTAAAAAAGTCTTGGAATTAAAATGTTTTCCTTTGTTCGATTGTCTAAGCTAGTAGAAACTGAAATATTACTCTAGACTCTATTACTCTGCTGTAATAATATCTTCTTCTTGTATGTCTTCTGTTTTGACGTTATATCATGTGTATAGTATATAAATAGTACTGCTTACTTCTATTCTATTCTCTTCTAAACGGGCCACTACCCTGACTGATAAGCCAGAGGTCGGAGGTTACATTTCCAGGCATGCCAAATATTTTTGTGTGATGAGCATGATCCATTGTTCTGTATCTGGGTGTATTTTTGTGTACATACATTAAAAAAGACACCAATAACACACAGACTCAACAATTTATGGATCAAACCATTACGCCATCTATACAGTTAATTAATTTATCTATAAGTACTGGATGACCGCAAATTTTTTTTTTGGTTAATTTCCTAAAAATGAGACCTGACTAGAACCGCCCCCGAAACCCACTGCATACTAAATTTTATGAAATCGTTTAAGTCGTTTCCGCGATTCAGATTATTCAGATTACATGATTATTTATTGAAACGAGCAATTCTTGCTCGTTTTAAGGTATGTTTAATTTTTTTTTAGTATATTGATTGGCGCTCCACTACTGTGCGCTTTTCGAGACACTTTTTGCCCCGCACAACCAATCTGTGGAACGGGTTATCGTCTGCGGTATTACAGGACCGATACGACCTTCAAACCTTCAAGAAATGAGCGTACTCCTTCCTAAAAGGCCTTCAACGCGTTTGGCACTCCTGAGTTGCAGACGTTCATGAGCGGCGGTGATCACTTTCCATCAGGTGACCCGACTGCTGGTCTGCCCCTCCGACATAAAAAAATATATCAGCAGTCTGGTAATCATAATACAGGCTCCTCCTAGTTTGAAATCAGACGCCCATGAGTGAGGTTATTATTATCATTAAACGAATGTGAGAAAATCATGGTATCTTTAGGTAGTCAAATTTAATAAAACTTAGTAGCACTTAGTCGAACTTCATTTCAGTGGTTGCCTCAACCCATTCCCGGACCTGCACTACTTTGCTGTACACTCCATAGGATCCTGGTGTTGCGCAGCCATATCCAAAAGAAACTATTCCTAGCAGCCGTTCGCCGATCACTGCTGGGCCTCCAGAATCACCCTAAAAATGTTTAAAGGTGTCAGTTTCAAATATTTGTAATGATTTGGTACTCATATATTTTTTCCTCCGCTAGGAGAAATAATTACGGTAGAGTTGTTGCAGTTTCAGATCCATTTTCCATCTTATTTTTTTCCTATCTGAAAAACTTTTATATTTCCAAGATCTGTATCAAGCAAGCGGCCCAGCATAAAAATAACCATCCAAAACCTTTTGCAATACCACACTATGACGTTGATGATACTGAGGATTAGCAACTGAATGCTGTACTGAAAATTTTCGATATCTTTTGGCATAAGAATAATATACAAGGATCACAATATTCTGGGTTATATACCACAGCCGTCATCCGTGTGGTGATGGATTAAGAATACGGAATGTCATTCTACGGAGAGGCCTATGTCCAGCAGTGAACTATCAAAGGCTGTTGATGATTGATGATACCACAGCCTAGACTGGAACTTAGCACACTTGTACCGTGATTTCTTTTTTTCGAGCATATCGGTCACCTGATGGTAAGTGACAACCACCGCCCATGAACTCAAGAGTCATAAGTGCATCGCCGGTCTTTGAGTGCCGTCCTCAGAATTAGGGGAAGTATTTCTTCGCTAACTCACTCACTCTCACTGTTTTATAGAAAAATACTAAATTACCTGACAAGCATCTTTCATTCCTTCAGGATACCCAGCACAGAACATTCTAGTGGTGAGACTGCCTCTGAAGTAAGGGAATGGCACATTCTGGCAGTTCTCCTTAGATATTATAGGCACCCTGACTGCTCGCAGGACAGTAGAGTATCCACCCTAAACATACAAACGTAAATACTGTAAATTTCAATAAAGCTGTAGTGTTTTACATTTTATATAATACTAGTTGACCCGACAAACGTGGTTATGCTCTTTAAATTTTGTTTTTTCTTTTGTAACAGTTAAAAATAAGTATTTGAATTAAAACATGCACAAGCAAGTCCAAAAATAAGATGCCTAAAAGTAAAGAAAATATTAATAAAAATCTGTCAAACACTTGAAAACTTCAAGATAAGAAAGAAAACTCCTACTTTGTGTAATAACATACTATAAAGTTTATTTAGACTTCAAGAACTGTAAGTAAAATAACCACTTACATTTTCAGAAGTATGCCCCCACCCTGTCACTGTCATTATAATTCCAACGATCATATCTTCCATACGCGCTATTTTGATTGGCTGAATGTTTTCCTCAAATTTGAGACTTTCGTTGAGCTTTAAGAGTTGATAATCATAATCAAACGGGTGGGCCTTAATCTTCTCTAACCATTCGGGATGGATGTAGTTTTGTTGCACCATCACTTTCTTGCCCTGGTGGATATATTTTGACCCGACTCTAATGTAAGGCTTCTTACTAGTAAAAAAATATAATTAAATAGCAGTTTAGAATGGTAAAAACGATAGTTGCAGCCAACAAAAAACTTAGCAACTTCTATAGACTGGGAAATCAAATCAAATTCTCTCCGCAAAAATATATGTATCACTTTTATTCAAGGCATCCTCTAGAACGATTCGGCAGATTATTTCTTTATTCAAGAAACTGAGGTCAAATCCTAAATAGGAAACAGGCACAAGAAACGAATTTGTAGAAGGCATATCATGCATAAAAGTAAGCTTAGACCGCTTTTCACAGTCTGACTTAACAAAAAGTTAGAAACACTTAGCTGTAGTTTTAATTTCTAATAATAAAGCGTGATTCTTACCCACAATGTCCAGCTGTCATCACCCATCTCTCATGAATAATCGCACCACCACAATTAGAGCCATACGCAACATGATACGGATACAAATTTATATCCACTTCAACACCACCCACTATTTTGTCCATTTCATTAGTAGATCTTACATGTTTATATGCCTTAGATGTTTTATTCTGATGTTTAACGAAACCATAAAAGCTTCTACCTCCAATCTCAACAGAATCCTCAGAGTTGTAATTACCATCTCTATTGTAACCTTCCGTTGCAAAATGTTTCGTGGTTTCTTGTTTTGGTGATGAACTTGGTGGGGCAATAACGTATACATTTTTTACATTTATGTGTACCTTCTCTACAGGTAATATCCAAATACTGGAGTCTGAAAAGAGCTATAATAATGATTAAAAATTTTAAAAATAAAATCCCAAAAGTTTCAAGGACGGACTCAAATGTGCACTTAATTCATTTGATAGCCCTCCTTAGGATTTCAGAAGATGTCTCCAGAAACGAAATTGCCCTTTTAGAGGAAGGATCTAGACCAACTAAGACAGACTGGCTTGTTTTTTGATTATATTGACAACAGAAGGAAAAGATATTGCTGTCTGGATGGATTGTGAATTGTCAGCAACAGCTTGAACGTCGAACTCGCTGTTGCTGTTTGCCAGCAGATTTATTGGAATCAGCAACAGCTTGTTTCAACTATAATATGCACCTTTCAGTACGACTGGTTTTAAGAGATGAAATATAAAGAAGATAAATGAATACACATTAAACATGATGCAACAGTTCATGTGTTAAGTAGACTCTGCTATAATTATTTTTCCTTAAAAATCGATTTGTATTCAATGATCTATTGATTAATCGGACATTATTCAGCATGAAATTATCAGTTACGTGTGTGCTCTGTTCTTATGCAGTGATCGACATCTTACATTCTGTTTTCGAAAAACTGTTTCATATCCCGCTATTCAATTCAATTCTATATTATCGTGATTCTTGTACTTTTCTATCTTTATTTAGGTATTAATAAGACGTGTCAGTATAGATACTTCCATTTAAAAAAAACACAAATAATCCACTACTAGGGATGCAATTCCCGAGCGCTGTCACAGTCGCATGTGTTGCCCCATCTATCACGCGATGGACCCGGCATCCGCAGGGTGAATAGATGGAATGCTAAGAAATAGGTATTCGTCCAGGGTACATGGGGGTTGATGGTATGTAAAGAGCTTATAAATGTTAGAGGAAGCGAACAAGGCGCTATCGCATATGGTTGATAGGGAGAGAAAGAAGATTGTTTTGGTCTTGCATCTCTCTCTGCTCTTGTTCTCTTCAGTATAGCAGAAGATATAGCCAAACAGTGCAGAGAGCAAGAGCAAGAGAGATGTGAGACCAAAACAGTCTTCTTTCTCTGTCTGCCAGACGTACGCTACCACTTACAGTGAGTATACAGTGAATATATGTACAGTTCGCTTCCTATATTTATAGTATCTCTATGCTGAAATGACTCCGCCATGATTATAATACACGATTATAAAGATAACACAACTTAAATAAATAACAGCCATAAGACATTAATTGACTGCCTCCGTCGTGCAGTAGCGTGTGCGACTGCTGTACTGAAGTCTCGGGTTCTATTCCCGGGTTGGACCAAATGTTCGTATTATCTGCAAATATTTGTTTCGGAGTTTGTTTGTTTTCTACATATAATATGGATGTATTTACCAAAAAAGTATTTAAGTATTCTACAAGTCAATCTAGCTTCGCTAAGTTTAGTCCAGCGTTTTGTACTCTGAAAAAAATAGTAGGCGTTCTTTTGAAGTATAATACATTACATTAAAGCTTCTTTATGTTCCTGTTGCTAGGTAGGTAGACTATTTAGATTATATATAGAACATACTTAAGCATACTTACATTTTCCAAGAAAACTTTACATTCTCTGTTTCAATTATCTAGTCAATACAACGACAGATCTAGGTATACTGCTCATACAACTTCGATGAAATAGTAAATTACACTATTACGAAAATAACATGAAAACCAATATTGCATTAATTCATTATACTCATACTGCTAATAACATTAGTAATTTATAAAGCTTTATCAGTTGATGGTGACGGATAAAGAATACGGTGTGTCACCACCCCTATTCATCCCTTGGGTGTCGTAAGAGCCGACAAAGGAACAAACTACGCAAGACAACAGCACTGCAAAGAGAAAGAAAACAAACCCTATAGGCACCAATATGGCCAGCATGGTATAGCCAAAACCTCCTTTCTGAAGAGAGGCCTATATCCAGCACCGTTTAATGCTGTTGATGAATGCAATTTCGAAGGTCTTTTTTATGTTAGAAGTGTTACAATGCTAGCCTAACTTATAGTTATTCAGGAGGTTGAAGAACGAATAAAAGCTAGGGATATTAAACCAAATCGGGTATTAGCGTTTGCGACGGAAATATTCACAGGCGACGCGTTACATTGGTTCCGCAGTGTTCGCGATTCTATAGATAATTGGGATCAATTAGCTGGATGTTTAAAAAGAGATTTTACTAAGTTCGACTATGATTATAGACTAATGAATGAAATACGCTTACGGACTCAAGGGGAATCGGAGTCTATAATTGTATATCTTGCTATAATGGAGGGCTTGTTTTCGAGATTGTCTAAAGTTTTTAGTGACGAAGAGAAACTCGAAATACTTCTCCATAATATCAGACCCTGTTACGCAAACACCCTCGCGTGCTCACCTCAGATTAAAACGATCTCTGACTTGCGTACTACGTGCCGCAATTATGAAAACTATCAGGCCCGGGTTTCACAGTTTAGAGAGCCTCCCAAGATTACTTTGGACACCTTAGCACCTGAATTTGCTTACACTAGACCTACTAATGGTCCCAGCAGTTCAAAGCATTACAACACTAACGAAATTAGTACTACACCGGTCGATGCCGTGCAACAAAATACTAGGGCATCAAAACCCGTATATTGCCCCAGATGTCGATGTCATACACACTCGTTAAAGTATTGCAAGGAACCTAGAGTCATCATTTGTTTTAAATGCGGTAAAAAAGACTTCCGTTACCCAGACTGTCCTAATTGTAATAGTTCAATAAGGGAATTGGTATCAAAAAACTAATTGATCGCAGCAACATTACAAAATTTAATCGCACTGAGTGGAACGATTGGCTCAGTTATATTAAAACATTTTTTAATACTTATAACACTGTTGCTGCAATTAAAAACTTTATTCCATCTAATGATCCTCGCCCATATGTTAAAGTAAATATTAAGAACGTATGTCTGGATATTTACGGTCTGTTGGACTCTGGCTCTGCCGTGAGTATTATAGGCAACAATTTACACTTACTACTATATAAATATTGCTTTCCAATTGACGACTCCGAAACTATATCTGTCACTGCTGCCGGAGGACAAACTATGACATCATTGGGTTTTATGCTTTTGCCTGTATTTTTTAATGATAAATGCAATATTATAGAGGCTCATGTAGTGCCGGAAATCAAAACGTCTTTAATCTTGGGTATTGATTTCTGGACAAAATTCGAGATATTTCCTAACAACATTAAGGATATAAAACTCCTTGCTAATGATAGTCCTTATTTACTAGGAGTCTTTAACCATTGTTTAACTTCTAGACCTAGCGAATCCACAATAAGTTATGATAATTTTGACGCGTCTCAAAAAGCACAAATTCTAGAAATTATTAAACAATATAGACAAGTCTCATTTGAATTGAAAGGTCTCGGCAGGACTCAATTGATAGAACACCGAATAGATACAGGTGACGCAGCACCTATTAGACAGAGGTACTACCGCTTATCACCTGAAAAGAAGAAAATCATCATTGATCAGGTGGATGAAATGCTGGCTCTAGATGTATTAGAACCATGTGAAAGTCCGTGGTCCTCTCCAGTACTAATAGTTAAAAAAAAGGACGGTAAACCTCGTTTCTGTCTAGACAGCAGGAAATTAAACTCTGTCACAAAGAAAGACGCCTATAACTTGCCTTATGTTTCGGAGATACTGGACAATCTTAGGGATGCTAAGTTTTTGTCCAGCATCGATTTGTCTAAAGCGTTTTGGCAGATTCCAATAGCTGTAGCTGACCGTGAGAAAACTGCCTTTTATGTACCTGGCAGAGGAACTTTTATGTTTAAGGTTACTGCTTTTGGGTTAACTAATGCTCCAGCTACTCAACAGCGCCTTGTAGATACCTTATTTGGCCCTGAGTTTGAACTGAAAGTCTTCTGTTATCTTGATGACATAGTTATTGCTAGTAATTCATTTCAGGAGCACGTCTCACTACTGAGTCGTGTTTTAGAAAGGCTAAAACAGGCTAATCTCACAATTAATCTTGCTAAATGCCAATTTTTTAGAAAAGACTTACATTATCTGGGTTACGTTGTTGACGAGAATGGCCTTCTTACTGACCCTGCTAAGGTTGAAGCCATCTTGAATTTCCCCACCCCCACAACTAAAAAAGAAGTTAAAAGATTCCTAGGAACGGCATCCTGGTACAGACGCTTTGTGCCGAACTTCAGTACTATAGCTGGTCCGCTTAACGGACTCACTTCTAGTGGAAAAAAGGCACGCTCTTTTGAGTGGACCCCTGAAGCCGACACGGCTTTTCATACCCTTAAGTCGTATTTAGTAAATGCACCAATTTTGGCTTGCCCTAACTTCAATTACAGTTTTGACGTCCACACGCGAGTGCTTTCGGTGTTGGAGGTATGCTTTCACAAACCATCAATGGCGAAGAGCACCCAATAGCGTACATGAGCAGATCCCTCACTGGGGCTGAACGTAATTATAGTGTTACCGAAAGGGAGGCTCTCGCTGTATTAGTCGCGTTAGAGCACTGGCGGTGTTATCTGGAAAACGGCAAAGTTTTTACGGTCTACACTGACCATTCCGCGCTTAAATGGTTTTTATCCCTGACTAACCCTACGGGACGCCTCGCTCGTTGGGGTGTAAGACTATCGTCATTTGATTTTATAGTAAAGCACCGTCGAGGCAAGGACAATATTATACCGGATGCCTTGTCTAGATGCATACAAGTTGCTACCTTAAATACACCCATCGTGACAACAGCTAACACCTCTGATACTTGGTACCTTAATATTTATCATGGGTGCATTAGTTCTCCATCTAATTACCCTAACTATAGAATTGAAGGGAATATACTTTATCGTTACATGAAGAGTAAAAATCCGCTCACATCAGAATTTAGCTGGAAGGAAGTTATACCAAGAGAGTCACGACACGATGTTATTAATAATAATCACTCGAATCTTACGGCGGCTCACTTAGGGATCTTCAAGACTTATAGACGGCTTCTTTTAAAGTATTACTGGCCAGGCATGTATGCAGATGTAGTAAAGTTCGTTGGCGACTGTAGCACTTGCTTAGCTTATAAGCATCCCGCTCATACTACCTTAGGAAAAATGGGCAGACCAAAAGACTGCTCACGCCCGTTTCAAATGCTTTCCATAGACTTGGTCGGACCTTTACCTACTAGTAGAAAACAGAACAATTATATCTTCGTTGTTAATTGCTGTTTCTCTAAATATTGTTTAATATTCCCACTACGACAAGCCACTGCAGCAGCTGTCTGTAAACACCTTGAGTATAACGTGTTTTTAGTTCATGGTATTCCTCAAACCATAATTATGGATAATGGCACACAGTTCGCAGGCCGCGAAATGGAAGCACTCTTAAATAAGTACAAAATACCTAACGCACAATTTACCCCTAAATATACTCCTCAGGTTAATAACGTTGAGAGGTATAATAGGACTATAATCACATCAATATCAACTTTTGTGAATGATGATCATCGAACTTGGGACCTACACCTACCGGAGATTCAATTCGCCATTAATAATTCTGTGAACGAAGTAACAGGTTTCACTCCCTCTTTCTTGGTGCATGGTAGGGAGGTAGTCACTTGTGGTTCTCACTATGTTGATAACGATAATAGTAATGAGATTTTGTTCTTGCCACGTGATATTTATGCCGAAAATCTTGGCTACTTAGCCGAAATATTTAATAAAGTACAGGTTTCCCTTTGGAATAACTACCAAAAATCGTGTCAACGTTACAACTTGCGTCGTAAACACGTCGAATTTAATGTGGGAGACGAAGTGTGGAAGCGCTGTTTCTTCCAAAGTGATAAAGGTGCACGTTTTAGTAAAAAGCTGGCACCCAAGTTCGAAAAATGCAGAGTAACAGAGAAAAGGTCGCCACTAGTCTATGTATTAGAGGACATGAATGGCCGCAACTTGGGAGCTTGGCATGTTAAAGACCTAAAGTTAAAACTAATGTCCTCGTAATCCTCATATAGGTATTAGTCGTTAGGTGTGTTTTGGATTTTTCTGTCCCGGAAAAATCCTTCGCTGGGAAGGGGGGTACTGTTACAATGCTATGCATTATGTTTCAGTTATTCACTTACGAGCTTGATCTCATAACTTATAGCTAATTAATTTTAAATCCTAAATAAAACTTAAACCTAGTCTTAAAATTAGACACTAAACACAATTATTAAAAATATTATTTTACAAACAAACTGTCAGTGGCTCCATTACTTCAATATAGTGAAACCGGCCGCCGCACTCGCGATGGCGGGGCGTGGGCGCCGGGCGGGGGGAACGGTGAAAGTGAAGGGAGTCCGCGAGCTCTGTGCGCGCGACGAGAAACATTCTACGCATCGTTGTCTTGCTGTGAGCTTGTCAGAAATACGTACTCGACAACCGGATTCAAGTTCCGTTAATTTTATTATTCCGTTAATTTTATTATTCAGTTATTTTTTCCTGCTACCGTCTCAACTAAAAATTGAAAATATAAAACTAAAACACTAGTGAATATTATAAACCCCGTGTCTGGGTAAGTTGTGCTTTTATTACCTTTATCATACCACATATGTAATAGTTACCGCTATCATTTAAAATGTAATTAGCCGTAGGTAGTTACCATCTAAAACCTGTGTATTATTAGTGCTTGGTTATTGTTTCTACACATGAATAAAAGCGCACCATCACCTGCATTATGTTGCTGTGCCTACCTACATACATGCTTAATAACTTAGTAATGTGTTTTTGCCTTTTATTTGTTCTTTTATTTTTATTTGTTCTTATTATGTTTTTTTTCTTATTTTTAATTTCTCTTAGTCCTTCCGCTTGCTTTAAACCGTGACTGCCGCACCTTAGAAATCTATTTTCTGCATAATGTGAGAGAATCAATCGCTTACCATTGTGTACCCTTATGCTGCAGTCACGGTGCGAATTTGGACAGAGTGTTAATGTTCCACCCAAACCTGATTTCAGGGTTTTAAGTTCACCCTTGGTGATTATCATCGGCTGATTTCGGCCTATCCTAGTTCCGGCCAACGCCACAGGGTCAACGGATTATTGGCTGTACCACATCACTCGAAGCTTGTTGGCTGATCGCTAAGGACTACCCAGGGAAGCGTAAGATTCCGCGCGTCAGTGCAGATAGGGGCTTGGGTAACGAACCCACCTAATTCTACCCACATAAAAAAATAAATTAATTTTCTTTTAAAACTAATTGTTAGTTTTTTTTTATATTTTTTCTACGAAGTAGTGTAATTATGTACATCTAGATGTAACAGAAGGGAGAAACATGCAGACAGGTCACCTGATGGTGAATGCTTCCGCTGACTGACACCTTGAAATCAAGGCACATATATGCCAACCGATGTGTAGGGGGGCGTCCATTAATTACGTAAGGCGTGCAGGAGGGGGTCGAGCCGAATCTCATCTAATCTTGCTTTGGGGAGAAGAGGGGTCTTGGCAAATATTACGTAATTTTTTACAAGAAACAGATTAAAATTGCGAGAAAACTGTGTCAAACTAAGTAAAACATGTACCCTTTCGAAGCAATTCTAAATACTAGTCTGAACTAGTTTTAAATATAAATACCAAGCATTTTTTTATTTTTAGAATAATATCGCTTTTACACTAAACACGATTTTTTTTTAATCTCATGTGAGATTGGGGGATGGGGGAGGGGGTTAAATCAGATCTCACCACATCTGACCAAGGGGGAAGGGAGGGTTAGAAAGCAACGAAAGAACTAGTGACTGCCAGTTTTCTATAAGGCTGTGTTATCACTCCTCCTCAAAATATCCTGTGTTGCGGGAGACTTTTACAAATATACCTACATGAAACCCAGACTCAGAACAACATTTTGTGGACCACATCTGACATCCGCTGACGTAAGGTAAAAAAAAGCAGGAGAAGAGTTCCCATTTGCAGCGTACTTAGTAGGATTGAAACCTACAATTACACGGTCGCAAGTTATTAATTACAATACCACACCTATGTTTTATGGAAGTATCGTATCATGTTTTAATTTGAAAGCTATTTGTATCGGCAAGTTGTAACCTGTTGTAAATGTAGCTTTATCAGCATGGTTGTATGGAAAAGGAAATTGTTTACTGTTGAACATTGTTAAAGATGTTTTACACCTAATGCAATTGCCATAATTTTTGTGAACAAGTAAATTTCGAGGATTTCTTGCCGAAGTTATTTTTTCTTGAACAGTTCAAGTTTTAAATCCTTTTTATGGAAAGTCCTACGGGTCACCCATCTCTTTGGAGTTAACGCTAAAGTTGTATTTCCAACACACTGTACCGTCACAGTGGGGTCTAACCCAGAAGATTCCAATAACAAGAAAGCTGGGTTTCTCAGAGCTGCAAAACTTTGGCAACTCTATGGTAGCAATTGGCCACACCGTTAAGGTGAAGTAGAAGGTAGTACGTTTAAGGACGGCCCCTTGGGTCTATTTCTGCAAGGGAAAAGGGCAGCTCTATAATTAATACATACCGCCAGTTTAAAATGATTCCAGTCCACCACAAAGTTTGAAAGAAAGTGCCAGTAACTAAAACGCTGTTTCTGGTACTTTATTTTTGCTGTGAATTTTGCTTTAAAAACGTGAAATGTGTATGACAATACTTCCAGCTAGCAGCATGAACTCAGTCTCAGGTATGATGATGACACACTCGGTAATGCCAACACAAAGCGAGAAGTACCCACATTTTTCTAATTTAACGTTGAATTGTCATTTTGGGGAAGAAAATAATTGAAAACTGTTTATATTTGGTGCTTCAGTCTAATGGGCTGTGTATTCTCGCCTTACTTAATACAAACAGAAAGTGCATTAAGTAAAATATATGTCTTTATTTTCATTAAAGTCTTCAGACTATTTTGAGGCTTTTTTGGGCTTCTACTGAGGCTTCCAACGGGCAACTGACTGAGAAGAAGTCTCAAGAATCTCAGTCAAAAGTGAGATCCTATCACACTTATAATTATAAAAAAACACTTAGGTGAAAATCGTTAAAAGTAATCACCATCGTCATCACCAGCCTTTAATAGTCCACTGCTGGACATAGGCCTCTCATAAGAAATGAGGTTTTGGCCTACTATACTACGCTGGCAAGACGGGTTGGTACGAGGCATGCCTTTTAAGTTTTGTCGTTTGAAGAAAAAAACACAACTTTCTTTTCGCTCAAACCAGTTATTATAACATTTATTCCACTCTAAAGTGGGGGTGTTCAAAATAACTGAATTGAAAGCGTCGACTGCTTCTTCACCGAACTTGAACCTTTGACCACGAAGACTTTTCTTCATCATCATCATCATCAACAGCCTTTAATAGTCCACTGCTGGACATAAGCCTCTCCTTAGAAAGGAGGTTTTGGCCTACTATATATAGTATCGTATAGGGTTTGTGTCAAGTTTTCCTTCTCTCTGCAGTGTTGTTGTTCTGCGTAGTTTTTTCCCTTAGTCGGCTCTTACGACACCGGTGACACTCTGTATTCCGGACCGGACAGTGGTGACACTCTGTATTCTTAATCCGTCACCACACGGACCTTTCTTTTCTTAATTTAAGGAAATGTAAAGAAATCGTTAGGGCTTAGGTCAGGACTGTATGGAGGATGGTCAAGAATTTCTACTTTTCCTGCTTCAAATACTCAATCGTTTGACGAGCGCTGTGTGAGCTTGCGTTGTCGTGGTGCAGGATGATGCTTCGCTTTGAGTTAGATTTTCGAAGTTCGGCGATGACTTGTGGTAAACAAACTGTGGTATACCACTCTGCGTTAACCGTTCTACGATCTCCAAGTGCAATAGTCGCAACATGGCCGGTTTTTCTAACGAACGTGGCCCCCATTTTCTTTGAAGTGCTTCGAGAACGAACAACTGTAGTCGGCTTTGGCTCGTCTTAAAAGACCCAGATTGTAGATTGTTGTTTGGAATCAGGATCGTAGGCATAGATCCATGATTCGTCACCACTGATGATGTCGTAGACGTGATTTGACTCTCCTCGGTTGAACCTTTGCAGAGTTTTCTTACACCATCTGACGCGGGCCCCCTTGTGATCCTCGGAAAGCAGATGCGGTATCCAACGGTAAACTAGCTTTCTCACACCAAGCGCTTTATGCAAGATCTTCTGAATGGTTGTCCCTGAGATGCCTAATATAGCGCTTATCTCTCGATACGTCACATGACGATCTTCGAGAATTAGTTGTCTCACAGCAATGATGTTATCTTCAGTGAAGGCGGATTTTGGGCGTCCTTCGCGAGATTTGTCACTAACACTGGTATGTCCACGCTGGAATTCTAAATACCAGCGTTCGACAGTCCGCAGACATGGGGCATCATCACTGAACACAGATGTTAGCTCTTCAAAACACTGAAGCCGTGTCAGGCCTCTCCTAAAGTTATAGAAAATTATTGCACGAACATTTTCCTTAGAAAGATTTATTTTCGTAAATAACCTGACATATTCCAATCGACGCTGTGACTAAACAATATCATTTATCTTAATACTTTCAACTGTTTTGAGATTCAAAATTTAAACACATTCGAATATAGAACAGTCCCAAATTCAAAATTGCCGGGAAATATGGAAACGACAGAACTTAAAAGGCATGCCTAGTATAGGGTTTATTTCAAGATTTCCTTCACTTTACAGTGCTGTTGTCTGCGTAGTAAGCTCCCTTAGAAGCCGACGGGATGAACAGAGATGGTGATACTCTGTATTCTTAATCCGTCTTCACACAGTCAAAAAAAAAATAGATGTAAATAAATCTCTTTTATTGTTTCGAAGACGACAGAGCGAATAACAAATGTGCTTGTGCTTTTCAGTTTACAGCACTTGATTTTAAGGAGAGAGTGTATTTATTATTATACGGATAACAATAAAATATATTCTATATGTAAATAGATAACCCAGTATTTAACTTAAAAAAAGTATGGAATATTGGGCCCTCAAAATAAAATCGCAACGTTCCAAAATCATTTATATCGCGAATAGAAAATTCAGTCGAACTTGATGCCAGTAGTCTCTTCAACCCAACCTCGAACTTTGGCTACTTTGCTGTAAACTCCATAAGAACCTGGAGTGGCGCATCCGTAGCCGAAGGAGACCATCCCCAAGAGGCGGTCATGGGCAACTGCTGGACCTCCGGAGTCACCCTATAAAATATATTAGTTTTAATGTATACGGAAGATCTGATTAAGTAAACCTATTAAACACAAAACAAAGGGCAAACAAGGTAGAAATTAAAACAATAATAATATATAAATAATGTTAAAAATCCATACATATCAATTGATAACACATTCGAGCATCAAACTCGGCAAAGTTACTTTTAGAATTTCGCCAAGTTTCAAATTGCTGCTAAAATTATGGGCTATTTAAAATTCTTTCGAAATCAGCATCGTTAGTTCCAAAAAAATGTTGACATCACATCACAATGTCCTGCAGTAATTCTACATCATTTCTTTCAACTTGTTACCTTCACACAATGTATGTGTTAAAGTTACTTAAAAGCTGTAAATATATAAATAATATTCACGTTTTAATATGAAAAATACCTGGCAGGCATCCTTCTTTCCTTCTGAATATCCAGCACAAAACATCCTAGACGTTAGGCTGCCTCTAAAATATGGGAACGGAACGTTTTGGCAATGCTCTTTTGATATTATTGGAACTCTGACAGCTCTCAGCACGTTTGAATATTGACCCTAAAAAAGAACTGAATTAGTTACAAGCAATTTTTTATAACATTTATGTTTGATGCTAAAACTAAAATTAAAGATTTTATCACCAGTACGGTACAGATACAGAAGAAGAAGAACCCTTAAAAACTATAATCTGACAGGTTAATGAATTACAAACTCACACACACACACACACACTCACTCACGCACGCACACACACACACTCATACGCACACAATTAAAAACAACACAGATATACATATAATATAAATGTATAAATATTAGTTAAGCCCTAGGCATAAGACAATCGTATTGTACGATAACCACGACACAGGCTGTGCTTAGAGTGGTTGTCACAGTAAATTTGTTAATTAAAAAAAATATATATTTTTATTATCCGTCACCGAATAAAATGAAATAAATAAAGGATTTGGTTATTGCCTTTAGTTAAAACAAGCAATGTGTAAAAGCCTCATTAGTCTTGCAGCTACTTGAAATTCTTTTGTAATGTTACAGTCATAATCGTTTTATCATAATCACACATTTATACACTTCGAAATGTAAACGAAATGTGAACTTACATTTTCATCAGTATTCCCCCATCCAGTGACGGTGACAACCTTTCCAATGACCATATCTTCAATATTGGCCAGTTTAATTGGCTGAATATTTTCATCAAATTTCAGAGATTCACTCAGTTCTAATATTTGAAAGTCATAATCAAATGGATGCTCCTTCTTTTTCATCGTCCAGAAAGGATGGACGTAGGTTTTTTTGACGCTCACTTTCTTACCTTGATTAATGTACTTTGACCCTACTCGTACATAAGGCTTCTTGCTTCGAAAAGAAAGTAAAAAAAATAATTAAAACATCATGTAAAAAATCCTTAGTATTTAAAAACCAAATTTTGACATTGACACACAAAATGAGTTGAATCAAAAAATAAGATTAAAGATTAATTAGAGCTCCTTGTTTCGCTTGACCTGAAAAGAAACTTGAGGAGTTCTGACTAAAACTGAAGGCATAAATCATTTTGTTATTTCTTTAAAGCTATGTAAAAAATGAAAGATATTAAATTCAAAACTTCTTACCCACAATGTCCGGCCGTTAAAACATATCTCTTATCAATTATAGCGCCTCCACAATTCGTCCCATATGCGACATGGTAAGGATAAAGGTTTATGTCCACTTCAACGCCACCAACGATTTTGTCATCGCCATAATTTGATTCGAACTCGTCCCTAACTTCGCCAGCTCTCTGGCCCTCCCTCTCTTTCTCATAATCAAAGTTGTCGATGTCTGGCATTTCAGTTAGCTGTTCATAGGTTTCGATATCTAGTCTGCCATGGTCATCATCGAAATATCTATTGAAGTACATTTTTAGAGTCGCTGGGTTCAGCCCATGCTTCGTCCTGAGTGGTATTTTTTGTACTGGTATTAATAGTAAGTCGAATTCTGAAAATAATAAAAAGAAATGAATAAACCTTAAATATTGATGTCTTCTTATTATAGCTTTTATTCAATTGTTATTGTTTTTTTAGTTTACTTTAAGCGATAAGTAGAATAATACACGTACTTTCGAACTCAGCAGGTATTACGTAGTAAAATAAAATGTTAATTGAAACTATAAAAAAATTAAACATGTTTTAAAAAGTCTCTCAAGTAATAAGCATTACGACGCACTACCTAGTCGTCACTCAAGGGAATCAATCCAATTTTAAATCCGTGATTGTATGATCGGCAGTAATTTACCATGAAATTAATATTTCCATTACATGTTTCTATTTTTCTCCACAGTGTTACTTATAATTGATACATCGTAGTAATTACCGAAAAGGTTGTACGGTAAATATAAGAAAAATGGATTTTAAACAGCAATCCTTTGGTAATGTTGTTAAAATATGTAATCAAACAAAAACAGCTTCAACTTACGTATTAAAGTGGTGTCACCTAGTGTGCGCAGATGTAAACTAATTTACACGTGTCGTTTGTTACCTAACAGTGCCACCTGTGAATGTTTAGAGGAACTATAAATACACAATTTAAAATCTCCACTTTTCAGTTTAATCTGTGTAAGAATAGAAAGGCATTAATTAATTTAAAATAAAAAGTATTTTACAATTAGTGTAACTGGAACTAATATCGTTCTAAGTCTGTCAACTTTATTTTACGGCGCTAGCGTCCCCTAGTATCGAATAGCACTAACCCTTTAGATTGTTAAACAGCTTAACAGACTACGGGAAAGATACTAATAAAATCGACACTTCACGACGAAATATAAAATAAATCATTTCTCGAAAAGTTATTGAGAGTTTCTCCTATAATATATTATTAATCACTTTTTAGTGACGTCTATTTTTTTTAAATTCTAATACGATGAGTTACTGATATTTATGCCCTTATTTGAGGGTCATATAACGAGCAGACAGGTCACCTGATGGAAAGTGACTATCGCCGCTCATGAACGCCTGCAACTTAGGATTCACAAGCGCGTTGCAAACCTTTGAGGCAGGAGCAGGAGAGGTTGCTGCATCAGACTATACCTGTATCCATTCAGGGCAGGCAGCTTACTGACAGTAGACCAAGCTATTGAACTCAAAAACCTGCTCTATTATATTTCATACAAAATATTGAAATGGATGGAAATGGATAACATTCAGCTTAAATTTCACTAAATCATCCGACGTTTTAAAATCAAATGGCAGGCACTTAAAACTACCGGCCCTGGACCTCGCTGTAAATATCTCTTTGAGGGAAATCTACAAGTCATATTTAAGTTACAAAATTAATGGCTGCCGATGGAATAGATTCGTTTTACAAGTATATCTGTTATTTGTGACATTTGGAGCGATCGAATCGAGTGAATAATACGATAAATACTAGACACTATGTGATGCGCTATTCCTGTGTCCCTCTCACACCACTTGGTTTGTCGGCTCTTTTTTCTCTATTTAGTCTATTCTTTAGTGGGGTACGCTTCCTCTTGAAGTCAGAATAGCTGGCTGCAAGCTACAAATGATTACAGGTTTTAAATAAAAGCGAAAGACCTCTTATTTAAAGACCTAGTAGTAATTTCAAAGGTGGGATGAGTACGGAATAGACATTGTTGACGATTTAAGAATGGGATGTGATCTAGTGGGATTGAAGACGGGACAACTGGATTTAACTCGTTCAGAGGTGATCTAATTAATATATCTACATAATTAACTATTTTCTGTATGTATTTTATAGTTGCTTTGGTATGTGTAAGTAGGTTTATAAGGATCATGTCTTTCTTTTACATTAATAATATTGAATTAGGGTCTGGTGTAGTAGTTATAGTTTTAAACACGTAATGTTTGGAAAGAGCCAGTTGTCTATGCTTTGAAAGAGCCGGCTCTATATTTTAACACATCCGAAAGTTTAGTGTATTCTTTCATTTTATTACATGCCTTTTTCCTTCAGGGTATAAAATTATGTCTTCGCGTCGTCAAAAAAAATGTTAATAATGCGTAAAAATCGTAATGTAAATACGATGGTTTATACAATGTTTAAATTGAACCTGAAACTGAAAAAAACTGAGATTTTTATCAATTTAACTATGTCAGTTTCATATGAATGTAATTTTGAACATGAAGATTAATATAATTTAATTGTTAAAGAGTCTTTTATAATATACAGTAAAAAAGAAATATATTATTATACAATTAAAATATTTATCCTATTTGACGACCGGATGGCATAGTGGTTTGTGTAACGAACTGCTATATTAAGGTCGCGGGTTTGATTCCCGCTCAAGTGAAACATTTTTGTGCATGAACATTTAATGATTGATTTGGTCTGGGTGTTTCTATGTATAATAAGTATGTATTTACAAAAAAAAGTATATATTATGTATTTATATCAGTTGTCTAGTACCCATAGTAAAAGCTCTGCTTAGTTTGGGACTAGATGGCGTTGTGTGAATGTAGTAAATTATATTTTTATATATTATTATTTACATACAAGCATCAAAAAATTCCTCTGTGTCATCGCCTACTGATAGCGTTCCCAGAAGACTGCCAGCATTGCCGGTACCGGTTTTTAAATAACACATGGTGGCCCTTTCATTGACCTGGTGCCATAAATGAGCCGATTTCTCCTTTTTACACCACCTATATAACAGATTGTCAGCGATATTTGATTTTAAAACATTAACAATTAAAGTGATCATTCAAAAAAGCTAGTTTTATTTGAAAACAATTTATTTAAAGTGTTTTTATTTCCTATTTTTCGAAACTCGGTCTTTGATACACACTGTTTTATATATTTTGTCGTGGAAAAGCCATCATCATCAACAGCCTTTAATTGTCTACTGCTGGACATAGGCCTCTAATTATAAAGGAGATTTTGGCCTACTATGTATCGCTAGCCAGACGGGTTAGTACAGGGTTTGTTTCAAGTTTTCCTTCTCTTTTCAGTGCTTTACAATGTAGCAATATTAGCAGCTTTTAGGATACCCACGGGATGAAGAAGGTTGGTGACACTCCGTATTCTTAATCTGACGGATTTACGGACAGCGAGAGTCATATTTCGGCGTATTTGGGCTGGCTTGACCGAAGTGATACTACAGCTCTCTTGCCTTAATTTTCACCGAGTTAGTGAGATAAAAGGAACCCAATCCATATGAACCGAACCGATCACTTAACATCAGATGAACCGTATGCCTCCTACCCCAAAAAAAAGCGCATCACATTTTTTTTTAATATTTATATAATCACAGTGTTTTAATTTTTAAGAGTGCCAAACTCGAATTCAGTAACTTGGCTCTTTAAAAACTGTACTAATATCAAGATTGTCACTTATCAAGGCCGAACATAGGTTATAAAATGTTTATCATCAGCATCGTGTAGCCAACCGGATTAGCAAGCTGAAGTGGCAGTGGGCTGGCCATATTAGACGCAGAACCGACAATCGTTAGGCCAAATAGAGTGACGAATTGCTCAAGATGGCAGGAGCTGGAAGCGAGAAGCCCAAAATTGATCTAAGTGGCGTGCAATGGGAGAGGCATATAAAATGTTGTTTTTGATAAGAAATATTCTTGCTCTGCTTTACTGCTAAACCATGGTATAGACGCGGGCGGAGACACGGGAAAAAGCTAGTTACTTATGTATTAGCTAAGGATCGTTTCACACATGGCTAGTCACGTAAAATTTAACATAATACTAACAATCGCTGGTTGAAATTCATGGCTTTTAGTAGCTGTTTAGATATCTTGTTTAAATATACATATATAAACAAGATATCTAAGCAGCTACTAAAAGCATAGGTATCTTCGGCATATAGGTATCGTGCAAATAACCGTGTGAGTATAAAAAAACCTATTATTTTGAAATTACAAACAGACACTTCAATTTTATTTATTGATATAGATTACTTTGTACTCAGGGTTCTACAAAACAAAAATGATATACATTCGAAAACCCCTATCAAAAAATTCTGCTCATCATTTTCTAAACTAAGAGTTCCGTTATAAGAAAACCTTAAAAAAATTGGTGCAACTCTCACCGACATAATAGTTGTTAAATATAAAAATAATTTGCCGATCAGTTTATAAGTGCAGTTCTGAGATAATAAACATAAAAAAAAAACATTCTGTAGTCGTAACTACTTTCGTTTAAAATCGCCAAATTCAAAACGAACAGAGTGACGATTCGGTACACTATTTATTAATGGGCCCAAAAGACAAATCCTAGAGGCGCTATTAGGCGTTTCGGTACGCCGGCCGAAACACTAGTGGGCCGAAACGCCCCAACACCCGGTTTAAAACGCTATAAATAGAGTTAACGTAAAAACAATTCTCAACGGACACAAAATACACCAAGACGTAGCCATTCTCTGAAACTTTTATAATAACATTATTAACCACACAATAAATGGGGGGTGGGGGGAGTAAATAAGCTCCAAGGGGATGAATACATAATGAAATTTCGCCCCTTGCCGTCCGTTAATCAAAAACTGGTGCAGAGGAGAAATACTGAAGAAAATGGAAATTTTCCATCCCTCCTTTTTCCTGTTAGTCTGACTCCCCCTGAGAGGAGAGAGGTGGACAGTCACCCTTCAAGGATCGAAAAATGTGGAGGTGGCTTTTGTTTTATTCCTTTATTAAATTATAATAGTCTGGCACTTTGACTATTACATCCTAGTGGTAGTATATTCACGGGTATTTTAATTCTGGGTTTCTCTGTTTAGACATTCCAGTTGGTATGTGTATAAGCATTAAGGTCGTTTTAGACAGTGCATGCTCCGACTTGAAAATCGTAAATGCTGGTGTCCCACAAGGCTGTGTGCAATTACCCACACTGTTTCTTCTACATATAAATGACATGATGCAAACTAGTAGCATCCATTGCTGTGCAG